AAAAAAAAAAGAAAAGCCTAGCCTCAGTTGCAGCTGAGTTTTATGTTTCTCTAAGCTGCCCTTGAGCAAACTAGATACCTGTTGAAGTTATTTGACCAGTGAACCACCTCTTCTATGCAAAAATTACTCAGACTGTTTACATTTTTTTAAATCATTCAGAAGCAGTTCAGGTATTCATTCTGGGCATGGAGAGTTGTTGTATTTTTTTGCATTAATTATGTCTTGAGGGTATTCTTATTGCATAATCTAGCTAGTGATCTAGTTAGACAATATTATTGAACAGCAGACTTGCTGGGATTGCTTGAAATTTTCCACATGTAATCCCAAAAGCTTTGCTCTAGATGACCATTGCAAATCAAAGGAACCACTTGACCACAGCCTGGAGACATCAAATAAGGCCAGTATTGAAAGCATATATACAAAATTACCTGAACTAATGTACTTGCATACTTGTTTCTAAGGCTTTTGYCTTGGTGCATGTTCCAAATTGTTAATAATATGTGGTAAGAACATCTATTTATAGGAGGTTATGGCAAGTGAATAAAACTTTTCACTGATGTCATTGTAGCAGGTCAGTTTAGATCTATTCACAGTCACGGGATTGGATCTGAGTTAGGATTACACTTTTAAARTTTTAAACATGAAATAGAACTACACAGTGGGGGTAAAGCAACCAGAACCTTTTGGTTTCTTCATCTTCTCTGACATTTATATAGAGTTCCTTTTAGCAAGAGATATTTTTATAAAATACCAATAAGGCTGTGTGTGCCCTAAAAGTATGGGATTAGCATTGCTAGTCTGTAGTTCCTTAGGGTGGAGAAAGCTTTGGTTTGCACGCCCAAGTAAGCAAGTCAGTTTTTTACAGCAACCTCTATCCTCTTGAGCCTGAACACTCTTATTGCTAAGCATCCATAAAATTCATGCCTAGAGTAATTTTTCTTCCATCTGTTCAGCTTGAATGGAGAGCATTTGTTAAACSGTGTTTGTAGGGATGTTCACAGTGAAATGCATGCCCACCCTGATGTTAGGCTGGTTAACCGGTCTTTTTAAACACAAAGCTGATATTGTTAGATGGCACAGAGCTTGAACAAGTACAAATATGAGAGACCACAGCTTTTTCTTTCCCTATAAACTTGAGTATTTTTTCCCATTGTTGTTCTAAAAAGACCTAAGAAGGCCAGCTACTCACTTTGAATAATTAGTAGTTAGAAGTCCACCTGTCTGTTGCTTAAAGTTACATTAAGTCCAGGCTTTGCAGTCTGATACTTTTTCAGATTCAAGAAGCCAGAGCCATGTAAACATTCAAAGTAATTATGTCTCTTTCTCCTCTTTTTCTTCCTTCCCCCTCCCCCCTCCTTTTCTTTCTGATGTTAGTTATTATAGAAAAGAGTTGACTTGAGTTTCAGAGAGTCTGCCAAAARGCCTTTGGTATTCCCCGGGGAATTGAGTTTTACATTCTTCAGCAAACAATGTTTGTCTCCAGAAATGCAAGAGGAAAACACTGTTTTTCTTTTTAATCTAATATCAGTGTCTAAGTCTAACGAAGCTCTGATTTTTCATTTTCAAGCCTGAGGAACATCATGTGTTGATATTAGAATGTGCCTTTTTAAGCTTCATTTGTTATCTTTAAGCAGCTGCTAAAGTGTAAACAAGTTGTTTTTCTCTTCTGTGTTAAAAAAGGCTCTTTACGTATCCAAAAACTCCACTGCTATTGTGCTTATTCGACTATGCAGTGAAAAAACATTATTGAATGCAGCAAATGCTTGGTTTATTTCAAAGCCTTTCTAAAGTACAAATCATCTGTTTCTTTTTAGCCTTTTCCTTGCTAGAAGAAAATTAAAGGAAATCACTTAGCCAGGAGATAGTAACATAAGAGGTTGTCTATGATTTTTTTCAGGAATAATAAAGGATTTCATATTTCTGACAGTGATTTTACGTATAAAAATCATGTACAATCTAGAATTTCAAAAGTGCTCTTGGTTAAGCACGTAAAAGGAGGTCTGATTTCTCAAAAAAAGCAGGAAGTACAAAACATTATTCCTTTCAAGGTAAGGCAAACTGAAATCTGACCTTTTGGGATTATTTATATACAGAATATATACAAATTTCTCTCTTTCTCTGCATTACCCCGGCTCTATATTTCCCTGCCAGACCACAAAGTCTTTCCACAGTTTTTTGGTTTTTTTTTTTTTAAAAAAAGGTGGGGGGTGGGGGGTATGGGAGAAGAGTGATTTTAAACATTTTGCATAGAGACAATGGCAGCAATGCCTGCATGAGTGTTAGAGAGGGAGTGCAACAGGTGACRTTCAGGACTGAGGCTGTTTGCCTTCTCCATTGACCCCATCTCCAGCAAAATYGCTTCCACCAGATAGGATTAGATTGCTAAAACCACTCCCCAAAATTTACAGGATGTATTCATYTTGAAATCCTCTTCAGACTCTCCTAGAAAATCTTCACAACTAGGAAAACAATCATGTTTCCAAATTATTCCTTATGGTTTTCCAGACCTTTTTCTGCATTTGCTTCAATTCCTTTTACCCTTTTTGCTAGAGTTTCACTTGATATGCAACTTTAAAGCAATGATACTTGCTCAGAAACTCATGATTCACACTCAAGGATATGTACAAAGGTGTATTTTAGGATTGACCTGTAAGACACACATCTCCTTTGGTTAGATGCACATAAAGGGTGCCTCAGGAATCTTCTGGCAATTGAAGTCCAACAAGYGGCCTGCTCAGCCTGGCACTATTTAAAACCACCAGAGGACTGTGCAGAGTCTGTGCAAGCAATTGGTGGGCAGAGGGTTCTGGAGCAGAGGCCACTTCTGGGTGCCTCCTGTCTTCCACAAGATTTGTTCAGAAACTTATTTTTGCTCTGAGCAGATTTTTATTCCTCACTCTCCAATGTCCAGTTTGAATGCTTGCAGTAGGACATTCAGTACATTCAGTACTCTTCACCACAGCTCGGTCCTGTCCATGCTCATGTGGGTGTCTGTTCTGGAATGAGTGCCTATTCACATACTGGTTATATGTTTATTTTGGAGAATAAAAGGGTTAAAGAGCTGTGCCTTATGATGGAATTAAAGGCAGCTTTTTTATGAGGCAAACTCCSTGAAGAAGCTTTGTTTCCTGCAGGTTGCTGGAAGGTGGTAGGGRAAAACACTACACCAGCTGCAGACCTCTTGGGATCTCCCAGCTCTTGAGGCAGAGTGTGTGTGTGTAGAGGAAATAAAACCTCCTGGCAGGGTTTACCGCAGGAGTGAGAGGAAAGAAACCACTGTAGGGCTCAAATGAGCCTCCTGAACAGAGGTGTGATTTGTCACAGGATCTRCCCTTTGCTACTGAGCTAACTTTTCTTTCTTTTGGTCATCTGAGATGTTTCCTGTGCTTAAACCTTCCTGGGTCTCTTCATGTGCCCTGCTGGAAACCCTATGAGTTTAGCTTGCTATATATTCTACTGAGGAGAAGATACTTAGGATTTTTTAGAAGAGCAAAATAACATGCCCGAGTGCAGTATGAGCTATATTAAATACCAGAAATATAGGTGGACTTCTATAATTTTAGCATGAATGTGTTGCAGCATCAGCTACAAAATGTGTTGAGTGATTTTTATTTATTTATAAGTTTTTTTTTCCTAAAGCAATGTTGTTTTTTCCCCCCACACAGCAAGATCTAGCCAGCTGGGCATAGGTGTAACAAAAAAATACAGTTCTGTAATTTTTCCCCTWTTGCAAACTGTTTTTGAAATGGATAACATTAACTCAATATCAAAACTACTAGAACTGTAGATGTTAAATAAGCACTTAATCACTATATTTTCTTGTACTCATCCCATTTGCCATTTTGGAAAGAGTTATGGAGAGCTGGCTTAGCAGATGCCAAACTATCCTGCACAGAGCTGACTGCTCCAGCTCGATCCCACATGCCCTTTCCAGTTCTTCTGAGATTATACAACCTCAGGACAGTGCTGCAAAAACCAAGCAGGCCAATTGATTTAATACACAATTTTCTTCCCTCTGAGCCTCTATGGATTTCATTTCACAGTAGAGGGCACTGTGCAGTTGGAGTTCATCCTCTCAAGGAACTGTATGAACTCCTGGTTTCCTGTAGGCATAGAGATTCCAGGGTGCTCTTCAAATTTATAGTTTTAGCTCTGCTCGCTGCTCATGCTTAATTGGTGTAGTTATATTTTACTCCAGCTCTTGCTTTGGTTCCTAAAGGATTATTTTTTTGCTCTCTGTCTCCTCTGCTGCCACGCATTGTTGTTCAGCTGCACTGTTCCATCCCAGATATGGCTATATTTCAGTGGTCAGCCGCTGGATTGCTGTATCAAGTATTTAGTTAAATGCTTTGTGGATCTTTCTGTATGAAAAGAGCTCCAYTGAGACTTAGATGATATTATTATTCACAATGTGGTGACTAGTTTCACACATGGCTGAAGCAAAATAAATCATCRCTGTTTTTAATAAAACAGTGAGTAGACCTCTTGTTGACCACAGCATATTTGTGGTCAGCAAAGAAAGAGTCTTTTATAGCTATTAATATGCTGCCAAGGTGCTTTAGCTGAGATTTTTGCCCTAAGGGAGGTGGGCTTCCCATACCACATATCCGTRTTTCTCTGCTGAGCCCCTTTCCAGAGCCCTGCCCTTACAGAGTGATTTGTTACAAAAATCCAATCCTGAAGAGGGAAACAGATTACTGAAAGAACTGATGCAGATGAATATTGTTCAGATGCTGAATCTGATAAGAAAATAAGCAATGTCCTTGACAGTTCAAGTACTAATTTTTAGTTCTGAGCAGTTGCAGAAGAAAAAAAATGCTCATATGTCAGCATTTCTGTTATGCACAGAATATTAAAACCTGAAGTTTGAAGAATGCCCAAGTGATAGATACCCAGCATGACATAGATATTCCAGGTGTTTGTGCTTCCATTTCTGAGCCCTTAAACTGGGTTCAAACGGTTTTAAATTGGTCTGTTTATTACTCAGTGGAGGGCATGGCATTGGTTGGGTRTAGGATCATGTGATTTAACAACTCTACCTGACTTCTTGTAACAACTTGGGGCAAAACATAGTGATTTCTYATCCTGAGAGACCAGCTGAGCAGAYACTGATRGAGCCAGTGCTGGTTCTTCAGTGCTTCCTCCCATCATTCTGCAGAAGTTAATGTGAGCTGTTCAGCCATCTGGACGACTGCAAGTCCTATCAGAAATTCTGAATGCTTTTCCAGTCAAAAAGCAGGAAGTTTGAACACATYGATATGTTGTTTCAAGGGCACAGAAGAAATGTGGTTTTTACTAAGAACAGCAAGAAGGAAAGATCTAAAGCAGCACATAAAGGRAAGAGTCATGGGCGGTATGAGAAGAAGGGAAAGAATATAAAATAGGAAAGCTATTCTTCATAGCRTATCATTATGTAAACCAAAAGCAGAACCTTTGCTTTAAAGGCTTACATTTGACTTAAACATGTTTCTTGACACAACATTTACAAAAGGGCCTATTCTGATCTCAGTCCAGTGCAAAAAGGAACAGCTCCACTCAACGCATTGAAAGCTCAGCGAGTTTGTGGGAGGGAGAAATGAGCAGGGTCATCCTTATAAATGTATCTAAACCATCTTAGGCTCTCCAGATGAAGCTCCAAAGTTGCATATCTGCAAAAAAGAAAAATGAAAAATGCAAATAGTTTATTGAAGACATTTCTCAGCTTCTTGTGTATTTATAAATAAACTTAGATTATATTTGTAAGGCATACAGAGTGCACTCTGTGTTTACTTTGCCGTCCAGCTTTCAGTTTTCACAAGAAGCAAATGGTTTCTGCCATCTCTAAACTGCATTAAAAGCATCTATTGTCTGACATTTTTAAAAGATATTAAATTCTTCATAACTGTTAGTCCTGAAATATAATATCCAGTTTAGACACAAAGCAACTAAATCATTACCACAAAGATGTACCCAGATTAGTGTACATCTCTTTTTTAGGACCRTTATAGCTCACCAAAAGTTATTACATAGAAAAATTTCTGTCTGTATAAATGCATGTGTAGGAATTCATTAGGTATTTCTCTTAAAAACTTCATGCTGCATCTGTGTCCTCTAGAGGTGGGTATGACCCTTCTGCCCAGCCATGGCATACAAGGTTGAAAATGGTGCTGACAATTCTCTGGAGAAATAGAAACAAGGATTATCATTTTAAAAAAATCAAATTCAGCTGAAGTAATCAGATCAGATTTGATTTTCTATCACCTTTCCACAAACTGTAAAGTACAGTAAAGCCTAGAAGCTATTTTCCCTAAAACTTCCTGGAATTCTATCTGTGCCTATATCTATTGTAATGCCCACCACCATCTTCATCATTTTGGGGCTTTTTCTTCTCAATATTGATGATAAACACAGAATGTTAAAATGGACTTGATTTGGTAGTGGTTAATAACTGATTTTCTGCTGAAGCAGTTGTATTGGTTGCTATGGATYAGAAATTATACGTGATAACAGGAGAGCAGATAACATTTGATAATCCTTTACTGTGAGAGAAATGTCATCCKTTTTGCTGTTTCAAGACCAACTTCATGTATATTTAGATAGCTCTATTATAAAAAAGTGGGAAAATTTTGTGGGTTGTATTTTTCATATATAATCAGATCCAAGTGCCAGTTTGTGGCTTTATCTATCATGCCTTCCTTCCATATTAAAATGAATTTTTTTTTTAGTTTTTGTTGAAGCTGCCACCCTTTTTTGCTGGACAAGAAGGATGATTCCTCAAGGAGTACCCTGAAGTTATTTCTGGGGTCTTGGATGCYGAATTTGCTACAGAATCTCTCCAGTGTAGGACAAGGATTTTACACAACCCTGTTCACTGCCTTTGAGAGGAAGGTATTGTTTTTCAGTTTCGGGAATGTCTTTTCAGTAAAAGACATTTGTAAAGGCTAAGTGTTAAGGCTCTGTAGAGATCTGATGAATATTTAGCAGGATTTTACTTCTCTTGCCTTCTCCATGTTAAAACCTTAGAAACCTGAATTAGTTGTTTCAGGGGAAAATTGGTACCGAAGGTCTCTGAGTTGTTATGACGGTTACGAAACTCGCTCACAATTACCAAAAGCGCCTCATGAGGAACAGTTCACCGAGCTGGGAAACTTCTGAAATTTGCAGAACTCACTGCCACGTGCAGCATTTTGCCTTTTCTTCAGAGAGCAGGGCTTTCTACAGTGGTGATGCTGAGCATCACCTTCCTCCTCCTCCTCCTCCTCCTCTTCCTCCTCCTCCTCCTCCTCCTGGCCTGTGCAGGCTGAGCACGCCACATTGCCGGTGCCTTCCACTTTAACTCATGAAAAGCAGTGTTGGCCACCAAGCAATCTCATTTTATCAATAAAAGTAGGGTGAGAGGCCATTGTAGGATATAACAAACCTGACCTTTCTGTGTCATAGGTACCAGGCTGCTCAAGCCAGCCACAGATATTTTAGCTGGTATTTTTGTCTYAGCTAAGCTGTTCTTGAGAAGTAAAGTTTGTTTATGAAACCTCCACTGAAAGCAGGTGTTGCAGACATCCCATTAGTAACCTCTGACTTACCTTCCCCTTTGAAACTTTTCATCCCAAAGGACTGACATTTCAAAGCTCCCCCCCCCACTTTTTTTTTTGTGTCCCTCCAAGTTTGCATATTGTAAACATTTTTCTTCTCTGCTCAGATGGAACAGAGCCAAAAATCTGCACAATGGGGGAACTAGATGTTAATGAGCAGAGATTGTGGGAAAATGTGTACCGGGCTGCCCTGCCTGACCTGCATGATAATGCTACATTTAGCACATTCTTTTCCATTAGTGTAGCAGGCCTTGAAATGGCAGCAAACAACATGCATTGTGAAGGTTTGTTTTAAAGAAAGCTGCCTTCTTAGGAGAGTGGAAATAAAAAAAAAATATTTATTGTGTGGAGTTGGCAGAAGTCCAGCTCGCTCTGGAAATATTTATGCACAAACAGTGGTGTGAAATTATATATTTTTCTTCACATTTTTAGTAAAATTASTCAGTGTGAAGGTTTACATTATGTAAAACCCATGGATTACGTACAAGCTCATACCAAATCAAGAAAGTTTGCAATCTATGGCATTTAGGGGCTGATCAGAACAAAAATTGTTCTATTGGACCCGTTAGGACAAAAAATATTCTCGCATTCTGGCATCTTCTAAATAGATTTTTTTTTCACTCTGGCAGTGTTCTCAACCCCTTTCCAAAGTATTTATGTCAGTGGAGTTTTGTTTGTACAAAATGCTCCTGAAAAATTAATTTTGGCTCCTCTGAGCCAAGTTTCATTTAATCATAAAACAAAATTTATGTCTCGACCATATGAAAATYATTAGGGGCAAAAGGATTCTGAGAACATAAACAACACCATGTGACTTAGACACCCAATTGCACAGCTTGAACCTATCAAGTGGTGAACATATTAAAATGCTAAAGGGAACACTTACAGTCAGCATTTGGTGTGCAATGAGTAGGGAGAAATTTGTTTGCACAAAACTTCTGACTAACAAAGACAAGTACCGAAGGAATTAATAACAAAAGACTGACTGTAGATAATTTCTGAGCAGAGAGAGGGATTAAATCCATTTTAAAAGCTATTTCTTGCAAACTTTTTACCCAGCTAATTTTTTAGTTATGCTTTTACATGTCCAACTTTGCTCTTTCAGTTAAGGAAAGAGTAATTCGCGTAGTAAAATTTTCATCCAAACGTGAAGTGTTTACAAATGACATTCCAAATCCTCATCGGGAAATGCTTATTTCTTCACAGTCAAATATTCCTAAAGAGCTTTCTGTGGGCAAAGAGACTTCCACTCATTACCTTAAAAACAACACTCTTATCTTCAYTGTGGGATGGATGTGGGCTCTGAGCCATATTTTGCAAAGGACAAAGCAAATTCTTTAGCAAAACATCTGCTAGATAAGAGCAGCATTCCTTAGAATAGGTTTCCTGATGAAAGAGATGCCAAAGCCTTGATTCCAGAAGTACTTCTATGCTAAAACAACTACTGTCTGTGCTAGTTCTGGTTCATGCTTTCAAGAACAATGTCAAACCCAGGCTAACACCRAAAATACTGAGCTGGTTAACATGACACTTTGGGGCTACTCAAATCAGCTCACCTTTTGCACAGTAGAAGGAAAAAACTGAGTATTAATCTCATTTTCAGGAATCTTTGAGATTAATATGTGGCCAGCTGAGAGGCAGTCTCTGTGCCGCTTATGAAATGGGTTTCTTTTCCTCACAAGCACCATCTTTGTGCCGTGAGCAGTGTGTGATTCCAGCAGATGTGCCCTCAGAGCYGCTCAGGGCAGCTAAAGGGCCATGGCCTGAAGCCTGGGTACCGAGGGACATGTTTATGTGCTCCTGCTCCAACAGGAAGGCATTCACAAAAATACTTTCCTACTYTGTCCTGCAAAACAAGACCATGGCATTGGGAAACATGGTAAAGGGGACTGAGTACAAATTTATTGTGTGTTCAYAAAAGCCCCTTGGTAACACCAAGAYAAACTCTGTGCAGGCAACTTCCAGGGCTGGAAGGCTCTGGCTGAAACCATGAGTTTAGTAGAGTCCTTGCTGTTTATTCTGGAGAAATCTGCCTGATCCAAGTGAGTATCTATTACCAAGCTGGATCCTTTCAGTTCCCATTATTCAGTCTCTGCCTTCCATGCCTGTTGCTATAGTTACAGGTTTCTGATGTCCCCTACTGCTGGGTGTGGTGACTGCAGAACATCTCTGCCTTGTCAAATATTTCTGCATAATGATTTGAACCAAACTTTGGCATATGGCTACAGCAAGCGCCAACATAGTGACCTTGTCTATTGAAGCATCGTGGTCATTCTCAGCTAAACTTTGGCTCATCTGCATTCCTCATGGAGCTGTACCTTCATCACATGGCTTCTGTTTGCTTGTCTTCCTCTTCATTGCACTCGCGGGATGTTGTGGTCTGCGTTTTGGGAACTTCCCCAAGTGAAAGGGTCAGGGTGTTGTACCATAGGTGGAAACAGGAAAGTAGGAACTCTGGGTCTGTAGTGAAAGGGGAGGGATCAGGAAAGTTGCTTATTCTTTTCATCCTCCTTCAATTCCTGTCAGGTGCTGGCTATGCATGGTTTTGATTTTAGTTTCTCAGATGGAATTCTGCAATTTGTAGACCATCACATYACGGTTTATAAATGATGATTATGCCCCCAGAACTGATGAGTGCACCCAGCCTACCTCCTCCCTGGTTCTGAATTTATATTCTTGAAATTTTCTCCAGATTTCTTTCAAAGCCCTGCAGAAAATATWTTTATCTTTGTTCTTTCTTTATGAATTGTTTCCTTAATCTTCACTGTCTGAAATTCCCATATTCTCTATGTGAGTGCCATAAGGGATTGCTTCCAGCTCGGCCAACACACATTAGATTTGACTTCTTCCAGTCAGTACTAACTTCTTCTTGAGCAATTATCATCATTCAGACTAAACGTTGTAGAGGGATCAGATCAGATTTCAGACCTGGATCTTTTCTGGACTGTTTTTTTGGGTAATGGAAGGTGTTCATTTYACTCTACTTTCCCACAAGCATTTGAGTGCTCACATTATAGAAACCTGGAAGAGTTATGAAGSTTTTCAACAGTGCTACCCTTCCCACACCCATGCTTCTCTAAAAAGGTTAAATTGAGAGTTATGGTATGTTAAAATTATTTCAAGCTGCTCTTGTTAAAACTCCAGGACTCGTATGGTAAATGTGAGGTTTATTCAGAAAAAACATAATTATTAAGAAAAGGATTTGAGCACAGGAGAAAACATGATTCTGGATAGGTAGCATGTATTTGGATACTTTTCCATATAGGTTTTTTACACAGTTGATTTCATATAATCTTTTTGTTTCTTATTGCAATAGATACAKTTCAAATATTTGTTTGATCCCTTCTGATATCTTGCCTTCTCTAGATTTTTTTAACAGAGTTCCCAACATTGCTCTATTGAAATCAGTATTGATGCTCCCATTTTACAAATTATGAGATGAATTACAGAGAACAACTTTGCAGCCTCACAAAAGAAAAACTGAGCCTGTGTAGTCCAGTCATCCTTATTTGCCACATCACAGGCTCTYCTTAAAAATGGAAGAGGTAATTTTTTTTGAGACAGTGATGTTTCACAGAGTGAGTGCAGCTCTGCTCTCATGTTAAGAAATTTAAGCTTTTGAAAACCCTCTTGCTGCCAAAAGCCTTCTTTTCTTTCAAGACTTTTAGCTATGGGTGATCCTCTGTTTAAAGTCTTGACCAGCTGTGCTTTATAAATATCTCTTAACTGATAAATGAATTATTTCCTTTGGTTAAGCTCTCCATATCKCTGAGCAGAGTTTGCAAATGCACAGTTTTGCAGCAGACTTAATAGTTTTCCAGATTGGTTTTCTTTTGTTTTCATATTTGGTAGTTATGCCCCGTATATTTTTAACCTTCTGGCATAATTTTGGCCCAATTTGGTGAAGTGTTGTCAATCATTGTTRCAAGATGTAAGAAATAATACCAGAAAATAATAGCTTGCCATTCTTAATCTAACAAAACAGCTCTGTTGCTGATCTTGCTGGCTGTCTAACAGATGGGCCAGTGTCCCACGAGAAGACAGCCACTTCCTTGCATAATAAACAAAGGAGGAGAAGTTGTCTGCAAGCCATTAGTGTATTGTAAAGTTAGATGCAATGTCTTGATATTGTCAGAATGGGTTCCTCAAGCACATTTCTTTGACATTCTGTCATAAGTAAGAYGCAAGACAGCATTAAATCAAAATTAAATCTTTAAAGGGCGGCCAGCTGTTTAATTTTTTCCAACAAAAGAACCCCACTAAAAATATCCTCCGTTTTCTAAATGTTGATAACCA